CTGATTCCATTTATGTGAAACCCTAGTAAAAGCAAATCTAATCTAAAGTGATACTGGATAAGTGGCTGCCAGGATAGAGCAGGGAGAGTATAAAAAAAAAAAAAAAAAAAAGGGAATTGAGTGGAAAGAAGTACAAGGAAAATTTCGGGGATAAAAAAAAATGTCCTATATGTTGACTCTGGTGGTACTTAGACATATGTATACCTTTGTCAAAATGCACTGAGCCATGTATTAATATATTTTTTCCTCAGCTAACTTTCAATTCGCTAGTATCTTTTCACTAATGTCTACCCAACGTTCAAATCGTTCACTGAGTTTTTAATTTCAATGATTATATTTTCACTTCTTGTCTTATATCTACCCATACCTTATTAGAACATTTAAAAAACACTTCAAGTATCTTTTAAAGCACCTGCCAGTACTTTAAGTATTCCTACCACCTCAGATGTAAATGTTCTCAATTGATGTGCAACTCATTTCTTTACATGTTTTGTAATATTGAATTTTGCATAAAAGTCTTTTGTGTGTTCTGTGAGCTACAGAAGCATTCCTCACTGAATATTTTCAAGTTTACCTCTAAAAGGTCACGCTGGTTCTACAAGGATTGGACCATTTTGAAGATAATTTCTCAGCTAAATCCTTGGACATAAAAGTAGCATAAACTAAGAACCTACATCCACGTGTAGCACAGCCTGGGGTTCCAATTTCTTTGTGACTTTTTTCCTACTCCGTATCCAGAGTAAATATCAAATCCCCTGTAGCTGGTAGGTAGGGGCTTTCTAGGCCACATTTTCATAGTAGGGCAGCCCTTCCAGACCCTAAGGTTCACACAGGCAGCTCTTTTCTAGTCCATAGGGCTTGAAGCCTAGATTTCCCTAATGTTATGATTATCAACTTCAGCCTCCAAAGAGATTTGCACAGCCCAATGAGCCATTTAGACTTTACCTCCTCTCACCATTTGCTTTTAGATATCCTTCTTATTTCTAGTACATGAGCATTTTTCTCACTTTGTTTTAAGCTTGGCTATATACCCCACAATTCATTTGTTATATTTTATCCAGTTTCTACTCCACGTTTGGAGTGAGAAGTCCTTTCATGATAGCAAAACCTTGATACCAAAAAGTGACAAGGACAGTATGAGAGAGATAAATTACAAGATGATTACGATTAGGAACACAGATTTAAAAGCCATAGGTGAAAAATTTTAAACTGAGCACAGCAAAGTATTTAAAAAAATGTCACCACAACCAAGTTGGGTTTATCTCAGGAATGCAACGCTGGCTTAACATTAGAATACTTAATAATGTAATAATTCAAGGGTCAGCAAACTTTAGAGAGGAAATATTTTAGCCTTTGTATGTCACATGCAGTCTGTCACTTCTTCTTCTTTGGTTTTGTTTGATTTTTCATTGTTTATGATCCTTTAAACACGTAAAAACAATTATCAGCTCACAAGCCATATAAACACAGGCTATGGGCCATAGTTTGCCAATTCCTGATATATTTCAACTTGCTAACAGAATAAGAGAGAAAAATCATATGATTATCTCAGTAGATGCATAAAAATGTATTGACAATATCCAACATCCATTTATGATTTTTTAAATTGTGCATAATCTAGGAAGATAACTCCCTTAACCCGATAAGGATTATCAACTTATAGCAATTTATAGCAACCTATACCAAACTTCCTTCTTAATGGAGAAATGTTAGAAAAATTCTTGTTAAGATTGAGAACAAGACAAGGATGGCTGTTGTCTCTACTTTTATTCAGCATTGTATCCTAGCCATTACAATAAGTAAGGGAAAGTAAATTAAAGGATTAAGATTTGGAAAGGAGAAACAAAACTGGTACTATAGAAGAAATAATATGATGGTCTACATAGAAAACCCTAGAAAGTACAGATAAAGTATTATTAGAATTTACAAAGAAGTTTAGCAATGTGTATAAGATTAATGTGTCTCTTTATTCACAGGCCGGTTACTTGGTTGAGTTTAGCTTGCAGAAGCTCTTGAAGAAACGTAATTAGGCAAGCTTCCTTCCAGAGAAAATTTCATCTTAGTTTCTACTTAGACACTACTGAGCTGAGACCAAAACCCCAAAATGTGAACAGTGGTGTTGTTAGATAAGTTATGAATAACTTGTTTTCTCTTTTGTATTTTCCATATATTCTATTCCTGATCTTATTTTATTTTTAGACAGAAGCAGCAGCAATACAGTTTATTTTTTAAAAGAAGTTATACAAAGGACACACAAAAAAACTATTTGTTTAAGTATTATTGAAAAGCACAAAAGAATATTCATCAAGCATATACTTACTTTTCAAACAGTATCTTAATTAATTCTCATAAAAATTCTGTAGCTTTAAGTATTATGATGCCTAATTTTGCAGAAGAGGAAACTGAGGCTCAGAAAGGTTATTTGCCCAAGTGACAGTACTGGGATTTCAATTTGAAAATACTTGTTCCAAGGCCAGTGCTTTTTCCACTGAACCACACTGCCGCCCACAAGAGAGCGTTTTCACATTACCTGCTAGTTCTAACTAAGAGATAGTAATTAAACAATTACCTGCTAATTCTCACTAAGAGATAGTAATTAAACAATTCTCCACTCCTGACAACAATATTTAAGCTACTCACATTTTAAAGAAATTAATATGAACAGCTTTTTTATCTGCTGATAGATACTATACCTAAACTCAACTACAAGCTATTTCAAAAAGAAAAGACTCTAATATGAGTTAAATGCTTTTTCAAAGCATGGCTAATTACTTTATCTATTAATGGGACATGAAGCATAAAAATGTTGTCTAGTGACCAATATAATTATAAAAATGATCAACCTGACTAGCAATCAAAGAAATAAAATTCAAGTAACAATGATATATTGATCAAATTGGCCAAAAAAAATTTTAATAGTAATAGCCAGCTTGGGTAAAAAGTGAAATTCTCATGCATTTTAGGAGAGAATGTAAAAATCTGCTGTAGGCCAGTTGATAATATTTACACTTTAAAACATATGTGGCTATAGACCTAGTAATTCTTTACCTAGGAATTAATCCTGAAGAACTAATTGCAATATGTGTATAAAGATTTAGCGACAGGGCTGCTTATCTTAGAATTACTTATAATAGCAAAAAAGAAAAAAATAATAAAGAAAAGGAAACTGAAATAAATCTAAATCTACCTAATTAACCTAAGAACTTTGGTTAATGATTTTTAATACATTTTTTAAAAAACTAAATCCCGGTTTCAACATTTACAGGCGAGGAGACCCTGAGCAAGTCCACTGAACTCTCTCAATTTCATCGAAAGGAGTGAGAACAATAATAGTACCAATTTCATAGCGGTAGTTTAAGAATGAAACAAAACAATTCACGTAGAGACCGCAGCACAGAGCTTGGCCTATGTATGCTGTCCATCAGTAATATAGTTAATGTCGTGATTAGGAAGGCAGATATAAAATCTGATTCCCTAGATGTGTAACTTACTAATGGTTGTGCAAGTTATGTGCCTCTCTGTATCTCAGTTTTCTCTTCTATGAAATGAGAATAATCCCATAGAGTTTGTGTGAGGATTATATGAGATAAGTATTTAGAAAGTATTTAGCACAGTGCTTGGCAAACAGTAAGCTCTCGACAAATTTTGACTTTTATTATTAGCATTTGTATTAGTATTGAATAAATATATATTATTTTTATAATAAATTATATACCAACTCGGAGTTGTTTACTGTATTAGGTATGCTACATGATACCTACTATATAGGCTGTGTTACATCATGTTGGTTTTCCTGGAATTCGTTGTTCCATTCCAGTGTGTATAAACTCACTAGTAAAAATTTTACACATACTATAATCATAATCTATAATTCTATTACATTTTATAGCCAACATTTCCAAAAGATATCGTAGTCCTAAATCCATTAATGAAGTTTTCTAAATGACAATTATTTTATTGTAACTTCTTTTTTCCCTTCTAAACACCTTTCCCACAAATAAATGACAGGGAGACCAACTCTTTCTAACCGCCCCCTCCTCAAACACTTAATATAAGAATCAGAGATACCTAGACCCAAAACCTTTCACATCCAAAAGACATGTGGATTTTCAATGTTTGGAGGGCATAAAACAAGAAAAAGAAAAGAACTAAGGACAGGAAAAAATGAAGATAAGTGAAACAAAGAATAAAATTATTACCGGAAAAATCTCTATTTGGGGGCTTCCCTGGTGGCGCAGGGGTTGAGAGTCCGCCTGCTGATGCAGGGGACACGGGTTCGTGCCCCGGTCCGGGAAGATCCCACATGCCGCGGAGCGGCTGGGCCCGTTGAGCCATGGCCACTGAGCCTGTGCATCCAGAGCCTGTGCTCCGCAACGGGAGAGGCCACAACTGTGAGAGGCCTGCGTACCGCAAAAAAAAAAAACAAAAAACAAAATCTCTACTTGGTTTCCAACCGGCAAAGCCTACTTGTACATCTTCAATACATGTGAATCAAGCTTGGAATTGAGGTCCCAGAACCATGTTTCATTGCATCCTTATAAGTTCTTTTTTTTTTAAAATAAATAAATTTATTTATTTAATTTTTGGCTGCACTGGGTCTGCGTTGCTGAGCACGGGTTTTCTCTAGGTGCAGCGAGCGGGGACTACTCTTCGTTGCGGTGCACAGGCTTCTCATTGCGGTGGCTTCTCTTGTTGTGGAGCATGGGCTCTAGGAGCACGGGCTTCAGTAGTTGTCGCACGTGGGCTCAGTAGCTGTGGCTCACGGGCTTAGTTGCTCAGCGGCATGTGGGATCTTCCCGGACCAGGGCTCGAACCCATGTCCCCTGCATTGGCAGGTTGATTCTTAACCACTGCGCCACCAGGGAAGTCCCATCCTTATAAGTTCTTACAGAATAAAATTTCATATCTTGGGATTTCTTCCCTGTTCAAGAGATGTACATGATTCCCTCAAAGACCCAAACCTGGAAGAAATAAACCCTTATGCGAGGGATGTTTTCTACCTTAACAGCTTCTCCAAGAGTTTGGTTTTTGTCAGCTTCCTCACTGGAATGTAATTCAAGCCTATAATTCAACTCCTGTAGTTGCTGTGCCTGCTCATTCAATAGCATTTGAGCCTGCTGTTCCCGTAGTAATGCATTATTCAATTCTTCACATGCACTTGCAAATTTCTCATGGGTGATCAATTTCTGAACAAAGAAAAAAATTTTAATTATAAGCTAACTGCATTGTTGTATCATTTAATCTTCAGAACTCTATTTGCTAACATAAAGAGAATACAAACATTTTTAAATATCTGATATATGACAAAAGTACAATTCATTTTTCTTAATTTCCTAAGTCAAGATAAAAAATATCACTCTGATTTTTTTTTTTTTTTTTGGCCGTGCCATGCAACATGCAGTTCCCCAACCAAGGATTGAACCCATGCCCCCTGTAGTAGAAGCGTGGAGGCTTAACCACTGGACCACCAGGGAAGTCCCACATCACTCTGATTTTTAAAGCACAACAGCTATACTCCCAAATTTATAATTTTTAGTCAAATAAAATCTCAGGAAATATTCATGTTCTAAGTAAATCCATAACGCTCGGTTTAAATCTTGAGACATGAGCACTTTTTATAAAGATAACGATGTGGGAATTAAAGCTTTCAACAAGTTCAAATGCTTTTAAAGGATTACCTGAAAGTCTGTGTTCAGTGTATGTTACCATTCAGGTTTCCCTGGTCAAACTACCCTCTCCTTGGAGAGTCCTTACCACACCATACCTCTCTCACTCCCACCACCACTCACGCTATTGCCATCTTCTTGTATTTTCTTCACAGCCATTATCATTATCTAAATTCACCTTAAATAGTTGTTCACTTTTTTACTGCCTGTCCGCACCCTTCCACAAACCACACATTTAAGGATGTGAGCTCCACAGGGCAGAGACCTCCTTCAGCTTGCTCACCCATCACACAGAGGAGTGCCTGGCATTCAGTAGCTTCTCAGTAGGTATTTGCTGAATAAAAGAATATCTATTCATATATAAACACCTGCCAATAAAACTCTGCACAACTTTTACAATATCATGACTACATCTGCTCTGGAATAACTGACAGTTCTAGAGAGGGGCCATCTCTTAAGGGGTATGGAATCCAGGACAGGACATACTTGTATTATCTCCTGTGCAAAACTCTTAAACAAACAAAAATTAGTTACAACAAATGGCAAGAGACACCTTGATCTTGAGGTACAAAGAACAGAAATGTTTCACAAATGGTAGGTAACCTGAGAAATATATGTGGAAAACTAAAGGAAACCATGCAGGTCTCTTAATCACACTAAGTGTATATAAATCTATTTAAGACTGATAACTTTCCCACTGTTGAAAAGAATTTGAGGTGTCAACTTTTTAACATCCCTCTATTCACTAATGACACAGCACTTCTCTGGGTCTTGTGAACAAGTATTTTTGTACTTCTTCTACCTTTTACTTGTTATTCTGTTTTAAATTACCACTCCTTGCCATCAGAACATTCTGTTCTTTGCAATCTACTAGGCCTCTATAAATGAAGATCCCCGTCATTTTGCAGGACTTCTTCCCACTCTTCCAAAATTTCTCCTTTACCTAAAAACTTAGCTAATGTTAGCCTTTCTCTTGTCCATATATCCCTCCCAGAGACTGGCGCAATTCTGTTCACTCTTCTGTGACTAAATAGGGTCAAACAAGTACAGCAATGCAGAATAAGAAAGAGATAGTGTGTGAAAGCAGTTGTATGGAGCTAATAAACCAAAAACAATAAAAAGATCATGGGAGTTAGCTATTAAAGTACAACTGTCAGTAGATGATCATGGGAGTTAGCTATTAAAGAACACCTGTCAGTAGATGAACATGATATTCCAAAACAGTGCAGGTACTAAATCACTTTTGGTGGGCAGGATGTGTCCCTTTATGTTACAATTTTAGATGAACTATAAGAAGCTATTTTGTTTGCCTGTATACTTTGCCTGAAATAAACGAAAGATGATGGTTGCAGGCACACTCCCTGATTTTTAAAGAGGAAAACAGCATCATTTTCCCATCTATTCTGTTTTTAATAAAACGATCCTTTATTAACATAGCTGGATATGAACATTAACCACTTTAGTGAAGTGGTTAAAAGTTTGCGTTTTGGAGTCAGAATACCGAGGTTCAAATCCTGTCATTTCCACATACTAACTGTGTGACTTTCGGCAAGTTACTTAGCTGTTCTGTGCCCTACATTTCCTCATCTGTTAAAAAAAAAAAAAAAAAGGATAATAATATTATTGAATTATTATTGATATGAGAGGACTAAATGAATCAACACCTTAAAGTGCTTAGGGGCGGTGCCTGATACATGTTCAATATGATCATCAAATGTTAGAAATCATCACTTTATAACTTTATACTACATAATTGGATGTCAAATATAAAAATTACATACATCATTCCTTCAATTATTATTTCAATTAATCTTATTTTTATTTCTACACTTCAGTGGAAGAAATTCACACTAAACATTTCTTGGAACACGTTCTTTGCTCTTGCTGCGAGACAGTTACCCAACCAAAGTTTATTTGCCATAGCAGTTAACCATCCTAACTACAGCTTAATCATTTTCTATACTTTCAGTCACAGTATACATTTTAACAGGGCTATAAGCTCTGCTGACACAATCAGTACTCCTTTAAGCATCTGGAATAAATCTTTTTTTTCAATGTTTTTTGAGATGATTTTAATGATGCTGTGCTTTTTATTTAATTGACACACAACACTGCTTAAGTTTAAGATGTACAATGTATTCATTTGATACACTTCTAACTTGCAAAACAATTTCCACTGCAGCCCTAGCTAGCTCTATTAAGTCACATAATTATTACTTCTTTTTTGTGGTGAGAACATTTAAGTTCTAGTCTCTTAGCAAATTTGAAATGTATAATACATTACCGTTGGGGAATTTTAGAAGGGAATTTTTCTAAAGAAAAAGAAATTCTATTAATGGGATTTGATTATTTGAAAAAGGAAACATAATAAAAAGTTAAGGAAAACAAACATATATATTTGCCCTGTGATATTTTATATACATATGTATATCATACATATTTTATATCAGAGGAGAGCTCACCAAAGCCATAGTTTTTAAATCATATATACTTACTGACTGCTTAACTTCATTCAACTGCATCTGAAGACCCTGGGTTTTGTCAAGCTCCTTCTTCAGTTCATTCACATTTCGTTTCAGTTCTGTGACCTCTAAGCGTAGTGAGCGGCGCTCCACTTCTGCTGTGTGCAGTCTTTGTGTAAATCCAAATATTTGCTTCTGTAATGATGCTGTGCTTTTCTATTGTCAAATAAGAGCAATTTTACAAAAAGTCACTTCAGATTTACTAGTAAGTCCATAGCAATGGTCATTTTACCAAATTAAATGTAACTTAGGTTATACAGAAAACAATACCAGCTCTTACTAAAACTTAAAATGAAGGCTTTATTTTTTTATGTGACCAATAATTTGCCTTATATGAAATGAAAAATGAAGAAAAGAAATAATCTAGATGGCTAGAAAACAGAAAAGATAATTGTTTATGTCTCACACAATTCTGTTGCAGTATACTCGTACAGAACAGTTAATTCAGAACTCATGCCAGAACTTTTGTATTTTGATATTATGGATACTTATTTGGAAGTTCTTTTATTTATCATATTAAACTATTACATGAAATCTAAAAGAAATCTACCTACACTCGTGTACAACTAATATAAACTACAAATAAATTTGATTCGGAATTAAATTTACAAGTCCTAAAATCCCTATTTAATGAAATTGCATACATACCAAAATGGGCACGTGGCCACGTAGACCGTATTTCAGGGCCAGTGTGTTTACTTTATGAAGTCCACGGGCCAGCCTCTGAACCAGGGAATCTTTTTCCACATATCTAATACTCCTGTTCCTGTGCAAAGGTATACTGTCCATTGCCAGATTAATTTTATCCATGAGTTTTGCAAAAGAATTCTTGGCTGCTCCTATAAGCAAATGTCCACAAATTCTGGAATTTGGATCTTCAAAGAAAAAGAAAAAAAGCACAGAAAAATAAGAATTGTCTCTTGTTCATTTCACAACACTGCCAGTCACAACACAATGAAAATATTTTCTCAGTTATATCATTCCCATCCACCTGCAGTAATCCATTCAAGAAGTCCCCGCCTATATCAGCTTTCACTATGTAAGAAATAGCCCACCTACTAAATAATGTATCTAAAGAAAATCTGCATGTATTTACAGTATGTCATTCATACTGAACACTATGACACTAAAAAATCATCACTCCTTTCTTTGTTTTAAAACCTAACAAATTCATTTTCTATTTACAACTACTGAAGCTTATTACTTTAATGTCACACTATTTATATTCTCAGACAAGAAAATATAACTTGCCTTATTCCAAGGCAATTAACATTTTACAACTACAATTACTCATTTCCCCGTAGGATTTTGGTAATCATCCCTCTCATATAATGGACTTAAGGTCCCAGCATATCCAACATGGCCTGCTTACTGCTAGATTCATCAGGTCTGTAATTAATAACTGTATTTAATGTTGATAAATAAAATTGTCAGTGTTCTTTCTACTAATTGGTATTCCAAATAATGGTTAATAGGTTTATTTATGCCTTAATAAAAGTCGTGTAATTTAGTTTTTCCTCTGCTAGGCATGTCTTAATCTGTCATTACTTGTGTTACAATACTATCCATGTAAAATGATGAACACGGAGAGACTCTTTAAATTATGCAGTATACCATTCTACATTTCAAGAACCTCTGCTGTTGGGAGTTAGTTTAAATCTTGTCTTTATATCATAAGCACAAAAAGCATATTTGGCCAGTTTTATGCAAGAGAAAAATGTTCCACAATTCTAAGAACACATGGTTCGAAAATGAAGAGCAGCACTGACTGAGAAGGTCAACGCCAATAAACCATCAGTGGTTTTCTATGTCAGAAAAAACCATCTCACGGAAGCTAGATAAAAGCTCATTGTTCTAGAAAATTTTCAGGAACACAAAAATAATAAAGTTTTCACAGATAAAGAGCCTTTAGAAGCAAAAATCAACTATAATTAAATTTTAATGAATAGTGGTTTTTTACTATATCACAGCAATGTGTTGTGTAGACACTGACCACTCTGAGAGGTGAAATTAAGTGGCAGTATAATTCCATAAGGCATTCCTTTGAATTTTTAACAAGTGGGAAAGAGGCATACACTCTAAGTTACTGACTGCTACTCTCAATGAATTACAGAAAGAGCACAAAGCATAATTTTATGCTTTGATGAATAAGAAGTATTTTTACGATATACTTCACATTATACAGTATAGAGTACAATTGATTCAATATTAAATAAATGAAGAAACAAAAAAATCCTCTACTGACATAGTTGTAGAATTATTTGTATAATGATACAGAAGAGAAACAATGTCACTAAAATTCCTCATGTCTAAACTTGTCTAGACTAGTTAAAATGTTTGACTTGTTACATTTAACAAATTCTTGTTTATGCTAAATACATTTGTTAATCACTTTTCCCCTATCTAATAGCATATCTTTCAAGAAGGAAGAGGACTCTATGTTCTGCAACTACCTTTTCCAATAGAAGGGGCAATAGTGCACATCTGAGGTTAAAATCTTCAAAACAAATTCACAGAGAATTGTTTCGACCAGTAGTTCTAAACCTGTGAATTACAGATTTTGAGGCAGGGGGGAGGGGAGGTTGAAAAGTTATTATAAGAGTTCCACCACTCTCAACTGCAGTATTGCCATTTGACCTTTATTTAGCCCTAAAAAAATATGTAGCATGAATAATATATGCTTATGATGTTGTTAGTAATAAAATTAAAAGTCCTTCGAAACATTGCAGAAGTCAACTGCTGCTAAAAATACAACTATCGTGTGGGAAGAGCAGTCTACAATGTGATTTCTTATTAAAATGGAATCCTCACACTCAGATTGAGAAACATGCCTTTAATGAAAAACAGGGAATAGTGAGTAATTATTTAATTAATATGTATGTAAATATGTCATTATTTAATTTAATAATAATATGAGTCATGAATATAATAATAATAATAATGCCTAATGGTAATAATAATGTTAGAAATGTTAATCACGAGTAATGTTAACTGCATTAAAATTCGACTCAGTTCTAGACAGTTGGGAACATTTTCTCATCCTTGACACCTCCATCTTTCTTGCCATCTCCCTCACATCCAATCACATCACATTTCTACCATCTATTCAATTTTTTCTGTAATCATGGCATTGTCTCACCTATGTTCTTACAAGGGTCTCCCTACTCTTCTCCAGTCATTTCCCCTCTTCAATCCATCCTCCACTGTAGAAAAAATGACTTCTAAAACACAAGTAGGATCTTGTCACAACCCCTGCTTAAGTTTCAGTGAGTCTCTTCAGATCTGGGAATAAATGTCAAACTCCTTAAACATGGCTCATAAGGTCCTACATGATCTGATCCCTGCTTACTTTTCCAGGAGCATCTTTCACTATTATCCCTTTCATGTATAACTCCTTCCAAGTGACCCCAACACATCACAATCTTAGAGCACTCTTCTGAGCAAAAAAACGCCTATGTCTTCAAAGAGCTGTAATTTGAAAATATGAATCAGTTTTCAAACTTGGGAGCCAATCATTAAGGTAAGATTCAAAACTGTGTTCTATCTAAAGATGAAACTAAAAATACTATGAAAAAAAGCCCAAAATACTATTTTCAAAAAGTAATAAGAGAATGTCTTACCATATTTTAAAACTTCAAGAAATACACATGAAAAGGGCAGTATGATACCGATACCAGAAGAGACAGGAAGACTAATGGAATTGGCTGGAGAGACGGGAAATAGATCCAAGTACGTATAATAAATATATACTAAATGGCATATCTTAATTCACTAGGTAAAAGACAGATGATGGAATTAAAACGTATTGGGGCTAGCTGGTCATCCATACACAAATAAATAGTATTAATTTCCTCACTACTTCTCTGAAAATAATTCCAGATAAAATCCAAGATTTAATGTAAAAATCAAAAATACTAGACTAAAATATGAGCAACACCACCTGCGGTGAGGCTAGCCTTTCTAAATAAATCACCAAAAGAAAAACCATAAAGTAAATGATTAATAATGTTAACCATACAAAAATACACAAACAAAATTAAAATACAAACTGGAAAAATTATTTACACTATATGGCAAAGTGCTAATATGTGTGATACACAAGGAGTTCTTATAATTCTATAAGAAACAAACACACACCCATATATGAACATAATGAGATAATGTGTAAAATAATATGAATGGGTGTAGAACAAATGAAAAGATTTGCAATCAAACAGTCAAAATTACAAATAAGGAATGATATAGTTTCTTTTGCCTTTCAAATTGATAAAAATAAAAAAGACTGTTAAAACTTCATGTATCAAAGGCATTATGAGAAAGCCAGAACTCTCAGTAGTGTTCATAGGAGTGTAATGCAAAGCAACTTTTACAAAAGGCAGACTGGCAATACTTTCCAAACGTAAAATATGCAAACTCATTTCTGAGGAGTTTAGCCAAGGAAATAATTGCACAAGTATAAAATGATTTTATGTACAAACATGTTAATTACAGCATAGTTTATTATAATATTAATTAAAATAGTAAAAAAATATGAAAAAATGCCAATATCCATCAACAGGGAATTTTCAGAGTAAACTATATAAACAATGAAATAGTATATTATCAAATACAATTAATGATGTACACCTACGTTATTGACATGGAAAGACATTTATTATCCAGTGAGTAGAAAAAAAATTATGATGAGGCATGATTGTATGACTCCCTCATATAAAACTGGGTGTGTTTGTATGTATACCTGTTGGTACACATGTCTGGGAGATTTGTAGAAATCATTAAAGTGTTAAGAATGATTGGGGATGGCCTTTTGGGTGATTTTTATTTCTTCTGTGCAGGTTTCTATACTGTGTGAAGTTTTTATACCAAGCATAAATTTAATTATCCTCTAGATAATTAAAAAAAAGCATAAACACTTTTCCAGAAATAACAAAACTATTTTAAAAAGCACTGTATACTGTCTTCCTCATTCATTCATTAAACAGCTAGCTATAGGGCAACTCATATGCATGAAGGCACTGTGTTAGGCAATGTGGAGAGGAGATCTATAACACTGATTAAGAATCAGTAGCTCCTGTTTCTATCAGCGTTATTTATAAATAATACTATAGGTACAAATGCCCAATAATAGAACTACTCAAAAACATATCTTGACTTAGACAAATGGTATTTAGGGGAATGATTATCAAAAGCAGGGGTTCTTGGACTTCCCTGGTGGTGCAGTGGTTAAGAATCCACCTGCCAATGCAGGGGACACGGATTCGAACCCTGGTCCAGGAAAATACCACATGCCGCGGAGCAACTAAGCCCATGCGCCACAACTACTGAACCTGCACTCTAGAGGCCGCGACCCACAACTACAGAGCCCACGTGCCACAACTACTGAAGCCCGTGTGCCTGGAGCCCATGCTCCACAACAAGAGAAGCCACCACAATGAGAAGCCTGCGCACCGCAAGGAAGAGTAGCCCCTGCTCACTCTAACTAGAGAAAAGCCTGCATGCAGCAACAAAGAACCAACACAGCCATAAATAAATAAATAAATAAATAGTATCCGGTTTTTTAAAAAGAAGCAGGGGTTCTTGCTCATTTTTTGTCCCGTGTATACCCTCGATAGCCTAGTAAAACCTATGGATCCCCTTCTTAGCATAATACTTTTAAACATGTTAAGTCAAAATATGTAGGGTTACAAAGGAAGCAAATTTTATTAAAATGCAGTTTTCAAACTATTTTAAGTTTTATTATAAATATATTATGCATAAGACAATACATTTAAAATATAGACTGAAATTTTTTTAAAAGACATAGCATAGGGCTTCCCTGGTGGCCCAGTGGTTGAGAGTCCACCTGCCGATGCAGGGGACACGGGTTTGTGCCCCG